AACAAAGCCTTTATTTTATCCAAGAATGCGGTCAGCACCCTCAGTCATATTCCTTAAATACAATAATGCTTGATTTGTTGGTACCTGCTAGGGCAGAATTTAGCTAGTCCTACAATAGATACTTCATTAGTATGGCAGAATTGTTCAGGGGATAGACTATATTGGAAACAAGTTAATTAAAAATGACAAAGAATTGTCTGTTTGCCACCGTGGTGCAGTGAAAGGCCCAGTGGTCTATGGCATTGCTTGGAATACCCACCTTTAAGGCAGATCTACCATAAATATCATGTCTTACAATGATACTGAAGTGAACTGGATTTACCTGTACCTTATGACTATTCTCCAGTCTGTAGAGTTATTCTAATTGGTGTGTCTTTAGTGTTTATATAGGCTATTAAAATATATGCCAGTATTTGCCCCTAAACTTATCCTCTACTCTACTGGATCTGTGTTCTTATCAATATAGATACTCCCTTTAAAATGGAGAATGCATTGTAGCCTTGCCTGCTTTATGCTATGCTACTATTGTCCACCTCCTCCATAATTCCACCTTAGAGGGTCCATCCAACATACTTGTATTCTCCTAACACTGTATGATTAGTAATGGAATACTATTGTTTACTCCTACTCTTGCTATATGATACTTTTTTTTATTCCTAGTCATATGTTTCTCTGTCATCCTTTATGCCGCCTGTCCTGTATAATTCCTGATCTATAGTGTTTTACAGTCTACCTATGCTCATCCTATGTGTCTCCTGCATCTTCATCTTCAGCTACCTAGTAGACATATCAAACCAGATGTCCTGTAGATATCTTCAACTCAACATGTCCAAAATGAAACACATTATCTGTGCCAAAAAAAACCCTACCCCTTTCCGAATATCCTGATTACTGTTCCCCATTACCATCCTCCCAGTCCCCCAGCTTCAAAACCTAGGTGTCATCCTCTACTCACTATCTCTCACCCTCCATATCCAATCTGTTCTTGAGGCCTCTTGATTTCACCTTTGCAACATCTCTGTGATCCGATCTCTTTTTTCCCTTGATGCTGATCAGCATCAAGGACTGCACTTTAGTGCAGGCCCTTGTCTCCTCATGCCTGGACCTCTTGCAGTAACCTGCTGGTTAGCGTTCCTGTTTCAAGTTTCTCCCAGTTCAGTCCATTCATTCCACATTTATCAAAATGATCTTCCTGAAGCATGGGCCCAACTGTGTCATCACCTATTCAGTAAACTCCAGTGGCTCCCCAGTCATCTCCAAGATAATATACAAAATCCTCTTGGGCATTCAAAGCCTTCTATAACCTATCCCCCTTTACTCCCCCACCCCTCGCCTTTTCTGTCTTCTTACCTCCTTCCCTTCTTCACACCCCTTTCCCCCACTACTTTCTGATCCTGGAACAAGACACTTCATCTCTCAGCTCTGGGCATTTTCACTGGCTGACCCTTTGTATGGAATGCTCTCTCTCCTCATCTCTATCATTTCCTTCAAGTCCCAGCTAAAATCTTATCTTCTACAGGCAGCCTTTCCTAATTCCTTTTAATTCCAGCGTCTTCCCTCTGTTGATTATTTCCTATTTAGCCTGTATATAGCTTGTATGTATGGCATTGTTTGCTTGTCTCGCCCATTAGACTGTAAGCTCCAGGACAGCAGGGACTATCTTTTGCCTTCTTTGTGTCCCCAGAGCTTATCACAGTGCCTGGCACATAGTAGGTGCTTAATAAATGCTTACCGACTGACTCTTTATTACATTGTCTATTGATCTTTGGATCATCCTCAGTACAATTCTTTGGAGACTGTCATATTTTATGACTCATAAACATATACTGTATCTTTATGGATACTGATGTGAAAAGGTGAGCTTTTGTTTCAGGCACAGAAATTTTCTAAGGCAGTCCAGCCTGTTCAGTTCTGGGCCCTGTTCATTGTCCATTTGCAGTGTATATCCAAAATATGTGTACTGATATACAGTCTCTAAAGGTTTTCTACATAATTGCATATTATAGTCTAGACAATAGACATTCTTAGTTTTCTTGAAAGCTTTCTTAAGATTTTCTTTTTAGATTATACTTTTTTTTTAAAGTGAGACAGTTGGGATTAAGTGACTTGCCCAGAATCACACAGCTAGTGACAGTTACATGTCTGACATCGGATTTGAACTCAGATCTTCCTGACTCCAGAGTCAGTGCTCTATCCACTGCGCCACCTAGCTGCCCCATTTCTTAAGATTTTCTTGAGGCAGCTAGGAAGCACAGTGGATAGAATACTGGGCCTGAAGTCAGAAAGACCCAAGTTCAGATTTGGCCTCAGACACCTAGTAGCTGTGTTACCCTAGGCAAGTCACTTAACCTCTGCCTCAGTTTCCTCAAATGTAAAATGAGGGGTGATAATAATAGCACCTATCTCACAGGGTTGTTGTGAGGATCAAATGAAATAATACTTGTAAAGCACTTAGTACAGTGCCTGGCACATAGCTGCTGGTGCTTAACAAATGCTAATTCCCTGGTTTGGGGACTCTTGAAAGATTATATCTCATTTAGAAGATTTGCAAAGGCTCTGGATCTTGATGCAGTCAGTACAATATCACTCACAAAAGGAGCATCTGGAAGATCTGCTAGTCGAATGCGTTTTGTTAGTCAAACAGTAAGCACAGTGGTTTTTTGTCTTCTCTCTACATGTACTTTTTTTAGTCAATTTTGAGATTGTAAAGTTGTTGTATACTGTGGCAATATACATATCATTGGTAGACGTCTTCCTGTTTTCTGTCAGGATCACACAGCTAGTAAATGTCAGGTGTCTGGTCAAAGACCGGATTTGAACTCAGGGCCTCCTGACTCCAAGGCCAGTACTGTATCCACTGTGTCACCTAGTTGCCCCTCTCTTGTCTTTCAAGATGCCACTCAGTACATGTAAAAATGGTGCTCATGAAAATTTTGTCTAGATGGGGAATTAGACATATGGACTAGTAGTTAATGATAGTTTCTAAATTGCCTTTCTTGTTGATAAAAATGTCTGAGCTATTTTCCATCATCTTGATTCCATTCCTCCCTTTCAGATATCTTAAGAATTGATCCCTCATTGCTGTTTTCTTCTGCGATCTTCAATAACATTTTACAAATGACTATCTTCTAAACCCATAATGCCCTTAGCTGCCAAAGCATTCTACTTAGGAAGAAGATCAAATGTTTGCTAATGAGGTGGTTTCTAGGCTCTGCTACTCCTTGTTATGACAATTTATATTTAGAAGTTAAATTTCTTAAGAAATGGTGATAGTGCACTTCATTTTATCCAATTCTCAACTTCAACAGTAAGATAGATTGGAGATGCCTCAATTGCATGGGATATTTGATTTTTATTCCTTCTACTAGTTTGGCATTAATTTTGATCTCTTTTCTAATAAGCTGATGATGTAACTATACAGATAAGTGCTTCAAAAATTGTTCTCCATTAGTAATGAATTATTTTTTGTCAGAATATAATGAATTTCAATTTTTAAATTACATTTTTTGGTGCTTGCCACAGATAGTGCTTTAGTTCTTTTTGAAGATAGTATCCATGGCATATAGGCAAAGAGGCTTGTGCAATCTATAAATCTCTGACATCTCATTTCTTATTTCTGAACCAGGTTTTCATTTTCCCCTTTGCCCACCTTTGTATTATCATCATAGAATATCAAGATACGTGTTGATTTATTTTGTAGTACTTGGGGTAGGGGAGAGGCAGTTGGGGTTAAGTGACTTGACCAAGGTCACACAGATAATCTCTCATACATAAAGAATTGTACTGAGGAAGATCCAAAATCTGTCTGAGGCTAGATTTGAACTCAGGTCCTCCTGACTCCAGGGACGATGCTTTATCCATTTCACCTCCTGGCTTCCCCCTTTGCAGCATCTTAACAAGTTTTTCATAAAACTTTTCTTCATTTGCAACATAGTTGTTGCATATGCCACATTTTTCATGGTGGTCTTTTTTTCAAATACTTAGGAGAATGAAATATGAGATGACCAAATATCCTATGAAATGGTGTTTTTTTGTTTTCTGTGGACATGCAATAAAACTAACTCAGCCAAGTCTTTTATTTTTCTATTCAAGGATATCTAGCAAATTCTTCTATTTAGCTGCAACTTCCTTTTGTGTCTAGTTTGATTTATAATAGAATGCCAAAATTCATATGATTCAGTTCCTTCATGAATACATCTGCTGATCAAAAATCCTGTATTTAGTGTGCCAGTAGCTAAGTGAGTGTTCCTCTCTAGCTCAGTCCCCCACCCTGACCCCCCAAACAAGATGGAAAACCCACTGCAGAGCTATTCTTATTTCCAGCTTTTCTTATTGTGTTCTTCCTACAGCCAACAGTATTCAGTTTTGCCCTTTCTTACTACTTTTGTTCAGAACACCTGCTGTATTCTTCACCTTGACCACCATTTTGTCTGGACATTTTTCCCCTTTTAAAATTCCCTTATTTTTCAACTTTGGGCATCAATTCAGTTTGGGTCTTATAATTCTGACCAAGAGCAGATTAATAATTTTCCTTCTGGTTGCCCAGTTGACCAATGATACATACTATGTGTAAAAGCTGTGGCTTTCCTTGACTATTTCCCTTACCATTATAATAATTTTTTATAGTATTAATGGTCATAATTGCTTTTTCCACAGCCCTGTGACTTAAGTAGTACAAGTATTATCTCCATTCCATAGAGAAGAAACTGAAGCCCAGAAAGATTATGTGACTTGCTCCAAGTCACAGAGCTAGTGAGTACAGGATCTGCAATTTAGGGCTCAAGTCTCCTAAGTCCAAGTTTGATACTCTTTCCATACTCTTTCCACTATACTACACTATCAGGCTTGTTCAGTGCTGGTCAAAAGGATTTTTTTTCCCTTCAGGATTTAATAGTTGAAGTTGTGGGATTTCTAACCTCTGGACTTTTTTTTTTTAAAGGAAAAGAAGGAAACAAGTGTTTATTAAACACCTACTATATGTGAGGCATTGTGCTAAGTGCTTTACAAACATCTTCTCATTTGATCCTCACAACAACCCTGAGAGGTAAGTGCTTTTATTATCCCCTTTTACAGTGGAGGAAACTGAGGTAAACAGAAGTTAAATTACTTGCCTGTATATAGCTAGTAAGTGTCTGAGGCTGGATTTAAACTCAGGTTTTCCTGACTTCGAGCCCAGTGCTTTATCCACTGGATCACTTAGCTGCCTCTTGAGACTTGGTCTCCCTCAGCTAAAGTACATTGGCCACTCATGGCTGGATTCCATCATTGACTGGTTTGGGAACTTGTATTCTTCTATTCAAGTCAGTCAGCTAGTAAACATTTATTGAATGAATGATTATTAAGCACCTGTTATGTGCCTGGCACTATGCTAATCACTAGGGCACAACAAGACAGTGTCTGCCCTCAAGGAGCTCACAGTCTAATGGGGGAGAAAACAAGTAAATAAATATGTACAAACAAGTTATATACAGAATAAGTAGGAAATTTTAAAAGTAAGGCATTAGAATTGAGAAGTTGTGAAAGACTTCTTCTAGAAAATGGGATTTTGGTTGGAACTTACAGGAAGCCAGGGAAGCTACTCATCAAGTGGAGAAGGGAGAGCATTCCAGGCAAGAAGTACAGCCAGAGAAAATGCCTGGAGCCAAGAAATGGAGTGCCCTGTTTTTTGAACAGCAAGGAGGCCAGCATCACTGGATCAGAGGTGGGGAGTAGGGTGTAAATACTGAAAAGCTAAGATGGAACCAGGTTATGAAGAGCTTTGAACAATAAACAAATAATTTTATATTTGATCCTGGAGGCAATAGGAGTCAGTGGAGTTTACTGAGTAGGGGGTGAGATGACTGAACTTGTGCTTTAGGAAAATTACTTTGGTGGCTGAATGGATTGAGCAGTGAGGGGGAATATTCAAGAGAGACTGTCAAGTTGAAATCAATAGGCCTTGACAACAGATTGGATATGGGAAATGAGAGATAGTAAGGAGTGGAGGGTGAAACCTAGGTTGTAAGTCTGGAGCTTTGAAAGTATTGTGTTGCCCTTTACAGTAACAGGGAAGCTAAGAGGGGAGGGGGGAAAGATAATGAGTTCAGTTTTGGACATGTTGCATTTAAGATTATCTACTGGACACCAAGATCTAGATACCTGTTTTGTTTTTTGGTTTTTTGGTTAGGCAGTGGGGTTAAGTGACTTGCCCAGGGTCACACAGCTAGTAAGTGTAATGTGTCTGAGGCTGGATTTGAACTCAGGTCCTCCTGAATCCAGGGCTGATGCTCTAGTCACTGAGCCACCTAGCTACCCCCGAGGTCTAGATATCTGAAAGGCAATTGGAGATGTGACACTGTATGTCAGAAGAGAGGTTGGGGCAGGATAGATAGATTTAAGAATCATCAGCACAGAGAGGGTAATTCAATCCATGGGAGCTGATGAGATCACCAAGTAGTATAGAGGGAGAAGAAAAGAAGACCCAAGACAGAACCCTGTTGGACACCTGTGGTTAAGAGGCCTTATATAGTTGAACATCCAGCAAAGGAGACTGAGAAGTGATCAGATATGTAAAAGGAGAACCAATACAGAGGAGTGCCCCAAAAACCTAGAAAGGCCAAAAAAAAAAAAGAGGGTGATCAAGTGTCAGAAGTTGCAGAGAGTTCAAAGAAAATGAGGAATGAGAAAAGGCCATTGTATTTGGCAAGCATGAGATTATCTTTAACTTTGGTGAGAGCAATTTCAGTTGAATGATAAGGTCAAAAGTCAGATTTTGTAGTAGGTTAGAAAGAATGTGAGAGGAGAGGAAGTGAAGGCATTTATTTTATATTGCTTTTTTAAGGAGTTTAGCCACAAAGGGCAGAAGAGACATAGAACAACAGTTAGTGAGGATGGAAAGAACAAGTGAGGTGTTTTTCTAAGGCTAGGGGAGACATGAGCATGTTTGTAGGAAGTAGAGAAGGAGCCAGTAGACAAGGAAAGATTGAAGATAAGTGATAGAGTGGAGATTACAGAGGGGGCAATCTGGGCCTCACCGTACTGGTGCCAGATTTAATGTGGACACCTGATCAGCATGTTTTACTGCAATTCAGAACTGAGCTTAATAACAGAATAAGACATTTATTAATATATGAAGAGGACTCTACTAGGCACTGAGATACAAAGTTTGCATAAGAAGTGGTCCCTGCTCTTAAGGAGCTTGCAATCTATTAGCATAAAACACCAACATAGATTGTTATAATAATACATATTATTGTGATAATATATAATATTATGTGATATATATTAGAAATATGCAAATAACATATTTATTATTATTATGTGAGGTCCAAGAAGACATTACCATTTGGAGGAGCTCAGACAAAGCCTTGTGGAAGAATTAGCATTTAAGTTTGTCTTTAAAGGCGGGGAGGATAGGGATTGAACAAAGCTAAAAGGACAGGGAAGGGCACACATTAGAAAGGAAAAGAGTAGCATAGTTTGGCTGGAGTATAGAATGTATGAAAGGATCTGATATAAAACAATTAGAAATGTAGGTGAAGCTACATTATGGAGGACCTTAAATGACAAGCAAAAAGTTTAAACTTCTAATTACAGCAATAGATAGTAATTGGGGTTTTTTTTTTTACTTTAACAAAGGAGTAACACAGGATCATAGATGTAAAGCAAAACAAAGATATAAAATATCAGAGGTCATTTAATTCCAATCCCTTCATTTTACAGCTATGGAAAATGAGGTCCATGAGGGTTAAGTGACTTGTCCAAGGTCACACAGCAAGCATGAGAAAGCAGGATCCTTTGACTCCACACTTGGTGCGCTTTGCACTTTTCACAACAGCCCTCCTATGACCACAGAGCTATGCATTATAAAGTTTACTATGGCACTGGCATGATAGATGGATTAGGATGGGGGTGGAAAAGGGAGAGACTGATGCAGGAAGATCTGAAAGTATGTTATCACAACTTTCTGATAATGAAGGTAATAATGAAGGCCCTTACTAGGATATTGACTGGGTGGAGAAAGAGAGGGGAAGGATGTGAAATGTGTTTCAGAAGTAGAATTGACAACTTAGTAACTGAATATGATAATTGAGGGAAGATTAAAGACAAACCTAAGTTAACAAATATGAGATAATGGAGGAATAGTGGTAGAAACTCTCTCACTTATTTTCAATCTCTCCCTTTCTACTGGCTCATTTCCTTCTGCCTGTCTCCCTTATCCTGAAAAAATCCTTACTTCATTCTTCCATTTGCTAACTGTCAAACTGTTTCTCTTTCCTTTTTGTAGCAAAACTCTCCAAAAAGGGTGTCTACAGTAGTTGCCTTCCTTTATGTTCTCTCCCCTTGCTCCCTTCTCAACCTCTTTCAATATGGCTTCCAACCTTATTCCACCAAAACTGCTTTCTCCTAAGTTACTATCTCTTAGTTACCAAATTGAATAGCCTTTTCTCAATCTTCATTCTCCTTGACTTTTCTACAGCCTTTGACACTATAGATCACTCTCCTTGATACTCTAAGTGTTCAAGACATCACTCTCTCCTGGTTTTCCTCCTATCCATCTGACTGCTCTTTCTGTCTCCTTTGCTGAATCCTCCTATGGCTCATACCTTCTAATGGTATATGCCCCTCTGAGTTCTGTCCTGGGTTCTCTTCTCTTCTCCATCTGTATTACTACACTAGGAGATTTCATGAGCCTCCCATGGACTTAATTACCATCTCTATGCTAATGATTCTCAAATCTACCTTTCCTGCTGCATTCTCTCTGCCGACCTCCAGTCTTGCATCTCCAGCTGCCTTTCAAACTTCTCTGTTAAGAGGTGGGAATTATGTTTTATCATTGATCCTTTGGAGTTATTGCCATTAATCAGCGTTCTTAAATCTTTTCAAGTTGTTTTTCTTTACAATGTTGTAAGCACTGTATAAATTGTTCTGCTCACTGTACTCTGCATCAGTTCATAGAAGTCTTCCCAAATTTATCTGATTACATCCTTTTCATGATTTCTTACAGTAAAATAATATTCTATTACATTCATATGTCAATCTTTTATATTCATATACCATTATTTGTTCAACCATTCCTCACTTAATAGACACTCCTTTAGTGCCTATACCTGTTCTTTGATATAATAAAAAGTGCTGCTACTAATATTTTTGTACAAATGGTTTTTCCTTTCCTTCTTTCTTTGATCTCATTAGGCTATATACCTAGAATTGGCACCATTGGGTCAAAGGGTACCCACAATTCAGTCAGTTCTACCAGTAGTGCAGTAATATGCAAAAGCACTCCCAAAGCACAATTGTCATTTCCTTTTTTGTTATCTTTGACAATCTAATAGTTATAAGATGGAACCTTAGAATTGTTTTCTAGTTTTTATTTTTCTCATTAGTGTTTTGGAGCACTTTTCATATAATTGTTGGTATCTTGTTCTTTTTCTTTTGAGAACTGCCTTGTTCACATCCTTTTGATTATTTATCTATTGGGGAATGACTCATTTTCTTATACATTTGATCAGCTCCCTTTTTATATCTTTGATATCCAGAACTTGCTGCAAAGATTTTTCTCCCAGTTAACCATTTCCTTTGAAATTTTTAACATCTGATTTTCTTGGTACAAAAGCTTTTCAATTTTATGTAATCAAAATTGCCCATTATATGACCATTTTATTTGTTCTCACAGTCTATATTCTAAGAACTCTTCCCCTATCCATAGCTGTGAATGGTATTTCTTTACTTATGCTGTTTTTTCTTATGTTACTGACACTTTCCATTGATTTCTCAATACACCTCTCCCCCAAAAATATAACTCTCCCTTATATCAAACAAGTACAGTTAAGTAAAACAAACCAATATATGCTTCAAAACCAATATATGCTTCAAAATGAGTAGACAACTTTTTCAAGAAGTTTAGTATTCAAGGGGTGGAGCCAAGATGATGGAGAGATAGGAAGCAATGCAGTGAGCGTCTCTTCATAAACTCCTCCTAACAGATATAGAAACTGCACCAGATTTACTTATTCAGTGCCATACAAATCAGCTCTTTTTGTGATGGCAAAAAACTGGAAATTAAGGGGATACCCATCAATTAGGGAATTACTGAATAAATTGTGGTATATAATTATAATGGAACACTATTGTGCTATAAGAAGTGACAAGCAGGATGATTTCAGAAAAACCTAGGAAGAGTTACATGAACAAAGTGAAGTGAGCAGAACCAGAAGACCATTGTGCACAGCAACAACAATATTGTAAGATGATCAGCTTAGCTATTCTCAGCAATACAGTGATACAAGACAATTCCAAAGAACTCATAATGAAAAATGCCATCCACCTTCAAAGAAAGAACTGATGGAGTCAGAATGCAGATAAAAACATACCATTTTTCACTTTCTTATTTTATTTCACTTTTTTCCCTGGTTTTTTATCTGTGATTTCTTTCACATGACTAACATGAAAATGTTTTGCATCATTGTACATGTATAACCTATATCAAATTCCTTGCTATCTCAGGGAAGGTAGAGGGAAAGCAGGGAGGGAAAAAGGGAGACAATTTGGAACCCAATTTTTTTTAAATGATAAAAATTGTTTTGCATGCAATTGGGAAAAAAAATATTAATTTAAAAAAAACAACAACAAAGAAAAAGAAAATGCACCAGACTGGATCCTGATGGGGAAATGCCAAAAAAAAAAAAGTCACAGTGAGTCCACTGTCCATCCCATTTGGCATAAGGAGATAAACAAAGAAGTCTGTGGACACTAGAGATGGGGGTCTAGCCAGCAGCATGCTGCCTATGGAGCACACAGTCCAGCACCTATGGAGAGGCTGTGCTAAAGGGCAAGAGGAGGTCTCAGATCCATAATGAGGTATCCCTATACCTACACCTGGGCATGACAGTTGAGACAGGTGCCAACTGGCAGCTTTGTTGCCCACTACCTAGTTCTAGGTCACAAATCCAGGGTAAACTGAGAAGGAGACTGATAGAAAGGAAGAAGTTCAGAAGCCAGCAGCAATGCTCTGGCTCAGACCTCAGGCACAAAGCAGGTCTCACTTTAAACATCTAGCCCAGTCTGCAGAGGAAAAACCAGGGCAGGAGTCCCATACCAAAGGGAAGCCTACAATTCTATTACTGAGCAAACATATCTTTCTGACTGGCTGATAGACACAGAGTCCAAAAAGATTCCACTCTTCCTCAGACAAACAAACACAGGTCAAGAATTTGCAAAACTCAGACCAGGAGGACAGCAATCAGACATTGCTCTGGATCAGGCCATTTTGAGAGCGCTAAAAGCTTATAGGTCCCCGGCATGTCCCTGACATGTTGTGATAACATAACATTTAGTACTCCAAGAAAGCAGCAATAGGACCAGCCCAGACTGTCCCTCCAAAAATATAGCAGAGCCCAGCCCTAATATGAAGTCTGATCTCAGAAACTGGACTGAAAGAATGAGCAAACAGAAAAAGAGCTATTTGATAATGACCTGTTATGGTGGCAGGAATGTGTAAGACACAAACACAGAAGATAATGACTCCAAGACATTTACAAGCATTGCTTGTAAATCACAGGAAGACATCTTGCACTCAACTGCAGCCTCACAAACTCAACTTGATTCCTTGAATAGATGAAGCAAGCATTTAAAAAAAAGATGTTTTTATAAATGAAATGAGAATGCTAGAGAAAAAAAAACCAGAAAGGAATTGAGAGCTATAGAAGAAAGAATTACAAAAAGAATTAACAACTTGGCATAAGAAGTAAAAACCTTGCCCAAGCAACAAACTCCTTGAAAATCAGAATAGACCAATTAGAAGCCAATGGCTCAATGAGACAACAAGAAATATTAAAACAGAGTCAAAAGGGTGGAAAAAAAAATAAAGATGTCTCATAGCAAAAACAACTGACCTAGAAAACAGATCAAGGAATAAAAAAATTTAAGAATCATTGAACTATAACCAATCAGGAAAACAATTTGGAACTATGCCCTAGAAGCTATTAAACTATATATACAGTTTGACACAGCAATACCACTACTAGGCTTATACCACAAAGAGATCAAAGAAGAAAGGACCATATGTACAAAAATATTCATAGCAGCTCTTTTGGTTGTAGTGGCAAAGAATAAGAAACTGAGGGGATGCACATCAATTGGGGAATGGCTAAACAAGTTATGGTATGTGAATATGATAGAATACTATTGTGCTGTAAGAAATGATGAAAGGTGTGGTTTCAGAAAAACCTGAGAAGACTTGTATGAACTGATGCAAAGTGAAGTGAGCATAACAAGGAGAACAATTTATATAGTAATAACAATATTGTTAAAAGAAATCAACTTTGAAAGTTGATTTGAAAGAGCAACTCTGCTCAACACAATGACAAACCTCAAATCCAAAGGACTCATAAGGAAACATGCTATCCACCTTCAGATAGAGAATTGATGGACTCACAGAGCAGACTGAAGCATACTTTCTTCTATTTCTTTATTTTTCTTGGTTTTTTGGGGGTGGGGTGGGACATGGCTAAAGTGGACATTAGTTTTGTGTAACTAAGCATATTTGTAATGGGTTTTATTTTTCTTGCCTTCTTAATTGGTGGGGGAGACAGAGGTGGGAGGAAGAGAATTTGGAATTGAAACATAAAGACCAAGCAAAGTCAAACCATTCCTATCTCCTTAAAAAGCAAACAAGCAAACAAACAAACAAAACAATCAAGGTGCTATCTGAACACATGACCAAAAAAAACCCTACACATCATATTTCAAGAAATCTTGAAATTAAACTGTCCAGATCTTTTATAAGAAACAAGAGGGCAAAATGGAAAGAGAAAAAATCCAATGGTTACCAGCTAAAAGAAACTCCACAAGCTCTTTTTGAAGTGGCAAAGAATGGGAATTAGAGAGTGTACCCATCACTTGGGAAATGGATGAACAAATAATGGTATATAAACATGAAGGAATACTATTGTGCTGAACTGTTATCAGCTTAATTACCAGGAATCCAGAGAACTACTGAAGAAATGTGCTATCTACCTACTGGTAGAGAACTAAATAAAATACTTTCAGAAATATTTTAGAGAATTTTTAACCAGATAATGGTGATCACAAGAAACAAAATAAAGAATTTTAGTGTTTGAGAAGAATATATACGTCAAATATTTCTGAAGTGGGTCTAATATCCAAGGTATTTACAGAGTTGACGCAAGACATAAGACCAAGATCCATTCCCCAATGGAGAAGAATCATAAACTATTAACAACTATACAAAAGACTGCTCCAAATCACTATTAAGAGAAATAAAAATTAGAAGAACTTCTGAGTTTGATCTGACACTCAGAAAACTGTCAAGGGTGACAAAAGATAAAAATAGTTCATACTAGAGAGGCTATCAGAAGACAGACATGCTAATATATTGTTAGTGGAGCCATGAATTGGTCCAGCCATTCTGGAAAGCAGTTTGAAATTATGTTAAAGAAGTGACTAAAATGTCATACCCTCTGTCCCACTGACCACAGTGCTGGCATATAATACTGCATCCTGCACTCCATATCTCCCACACTCCTGAATAGAGCAAAAGAAAGGTCCTAGATACACAAAAAATATTAGTAGTAGCACTTTTTGTAGTAGCAAAGGACTGTAAATAAATGCCTATTAACTGAGAAATAGGAAAACAAATCATGGGTATATGAATGTAATGGAATATTACTATTCTGTAAGAAATAATGAATAGAAATTCAGGGAAGCAGGAGAAGACTTTATTGAACTGAAACAGATTGGAGTGAGCAGGACCAACAAAACAATATACACCATTTCAACAGTATGGAAATGGAAAACAAAAAATGAACACTTTAATTATAATGACCAAGTTTGGCTCTGGAGAAGAGGTGAGAAATTCACCTTCCTTTCTTTGTAGAAGTTGAGTACTATGGTTATGAAATGTTGCATTTACTGCCAGATACAGTTGATGTGTTTGTTGTTTGTTTTGCTGAACTGCTTTTAATTTTTTTTTGTCATAAAGAATAGCTCAGTAGCAAGTAGAGAAAAAAGGGATATGGAAATGAATATGTTGAAAAGATATTAATAAAAACGAAAGTTATTCCATAAACGAATGTAAAAGTATTTTGGTGGAGGGTTCTTGGCCTAGCTAAATGCTATGACTCTATTGTGACCCATGACTTTTCACAGAAATGTAAAATTTAAACTTCATGACTATTAATAGATTTTTCATTTTCACTTTAAAAAGATACCTGCTAATTATAATATTTTAAATATTTTTCTCAGCACCTGCATCATCTACAGTAAAAGCATATTAAAAGTACTTATATTTTCTCTTTATAGGAAGTACAAGATAACCAAAATTGACAGATTTGGACACTCCCCTGTTTTGAATCTATTTCGCTTAACTGGTTTTTCAGGAGTAGTACCCATTAATTTACAGGTATGATTCTGTATAATTACTGACACTAGAGTTACTTAAATGTACAAAAACCCAGCAGATTTATGTAATAATAAGTCAGAGCATATATTCATTACTTAATGAAATCTTTAATATATGGAACATGTTGACCAGGTCTTCCAATAAATGGTTTTGTTCCTTTGATATTCTCCTCGTTTGTTAACTTGCTATTGCATTTCTTACCATTGTCTGTATTGTCCTTTTGTCTTCTTTTATACTCAGAACACTGACTTTGTTTTTCACTATTGGGACTCCCACCCTCTTTTCTTGAAATTCTTTTCCTTCTTCGGTTCAGAATTTCAGAGTTTGAAGGAACCTTTGTCCATTTAGTCCAACCCTTACCTAATCATAAAATCCTTTTTACGACATCCCCAATAATATGGTCATCTACCGTCCATTATTCTTTTCTTCTGACACTCCACTCTCCCAGTTTTTCTCCTATCTTTCCTATCTTCATCTTCTTTACATCTTTCTATCCCCTAAACATGAATTCTTTCCATAGCTTTTAGCTCTTCTCATGGTACTGTCTCTCCTATAGAGAACTCATCTACTTCCAGCTCCCCAGCTGTATGTAAATGACTTTAGAAATTATCTCTTCAGCTTTTGTATCTATTCCTGCATTTCAAATCTGCCTACTGAACACTTCTACTTGGATATTGTCATTTCCTCAAATTAAATTCAACATGTCTGAAACTGATTCTCTCCTTGACTTCCCTATGTCTGTTAATGATGCCACCAGTCACCTGGACTCAAAACTTCAAAATCATCATAGACTCATCCAGTATCATATCAATCAGATCTTTCTGATGATTTATTCATTGTATTTCTCTAATCTATCTCTTCTACTCAATTTACCCTGATTCCTACCTTACCAGAACTGTTAAGATCAGCTAAGTTATCTTCCTGTTTCCATCACTTTCTTATCCAATCCATCATTATGTTAATCTTCCTAAACCATTTCAAAATTAGAGAATTTCAGACTTTGAAGGAAACAAAAAAGTCGAACAGAAATTCTCTCTAAAATATACTATAGTATGCCTCCATAATACAGAACCTATACTTTGAGATGTATCTAATATCTCACACCATTTTACTTTTGGACAGCTCTCATTGTTAGGAAGCTTTTCCTTACATTGAACAGACAGCTGCCTCTTTGCAACTTCAACCTATTACTCCTAGCTCTAGCATTTGGGGCAAAGCAATACAAGTAAATTCCTTTTTACATATGACAACTATTCCAGATTCTGTACTTTAAAACACCATCATGTTCCTCTCCCTCTCCCCACCAGGCATTCTTTGCTCTAGGATAAACATCCCATAGTTTCTTCAACTGAACTTCATATGGCATTGTATCCAAGCCTCTTCACTATTCTCCTGTATGCTCCCCACCTGTCAATGTCATTCCCAAATGTGGTGCCCAGAACTGAACACAATGATTCAGATATGGTCTGACCATGGCATAGTACAGCAGGACTATGACCACCCTAAATCTGGCAATTGTGTTTCTCAATGTAGCCTAAGATTGTTTTAGTAGCTTTGTCTGCTATTTCACATTGTTTATTGAAACTGGGCTTGAAGTCTTAAAAACCCTCAGATTTTCTCACATCAGTGTTGTCCAGCTATATCTCCCCTATCCTCTAATTAGGCAGTTGATTTTTTAAATCCAAGTGTAGAACTTTACACTTATTTTATTCCTATCGAATTCCATCTTATATTTGACCTATAACATTCTTGAGGTATTTTTTGGTGCCTGATTCTGTCATCCATTAACTATCTATCCCAACTTTTTATTATCTATTGAGTTTGAAAAATGTATTTGTAAGCCCTTTTTGATATTTGTACTTATATTTGTACTTACAAAACTTATTTGATAAATATACAGATGTGATGAATGTGCCTTCATCAAAATCACTGACAAAAAAATGTTCAACAGAACAGGGCCAAGGACAAGATCCTTGAGGTGTACTCCATTGGAGATCTCCGTCAAAATTGATATTGACATTCAATAATGGCAATCTCTAACTATATTATCATCAATCCCATGTCTCCATCTAGTTCACAATAATAAGAAAAGTCAGTGTTGTTTTCCAGATCTACTGCTCTAGTAATTCTGTCAAGGAGAGGAAATGTAGTTAGCCTGTATGACCTACTCTTAATGGAACCAACTAGACTCTTGGTATTATGCTTCCCTTTCTAGATGCTCAGAAAGTACCCATTTAAAACAAATTGTTTTTAGAATTTCGATAAGAATCTTAAGTCAAAATTACCAATCTATAGTTGTTGATCCATCCACTTCCCTATTTTGAAAATTGGGATATTTCCTCATCTCTAATCCCATAGTACCTCTTTCTCTAAAATTTTTATGATTGTTAGCAGCTCAGCAGTGATAATCACTAACCTATCTTTTGCCTTCTGAAATATCATATACCAACTTCTCCACTTCTTTACATGATAACTGCTAAATCATGTGTGATCCTCACTGTGACTCCTCAGTACTTGATTTTTTCTTTCTGGATGCCTGCACTGTCTTTTCTTAGCTCTGGATTTTAGGGTATCATATTCTTAGAAGTTTTCATTTAAGGGTTTCTTTCAGAATGTAACTAGTAGATTCCTTCTATTTCTGCTTTAACCTCCTTAAGAGATCTGGGCAATTTTAAGATTTGTATGGGATGTCTAGGGTCTTTTTTTGGTCGTGGCTTTCAGGTAGTCCAATGATGCTTGAGTTTTTTCTCCTTGGATCATTTTATTTTCTGAGTCATTTATTTTTGCTAGGAGATACTTTACATTTTTTTCTATTTCAGTCTAAATTTTCAATTTAAAAAAAAACTTATTTCATCTCTTCTAGAAATTCTACTTCAGGTTATGTCCAAGCTGTGTTTTTCTTTGAGGTTTTGCTTGTAGATATTTTGTAGTCATTGTATCTTGAGTGTCCTTATCACTGTAATAGCTTTTTATGATGTGAGTCTTAATATTATTTATTTATTTTTAACTTCAAAAAAATTTTTTTGAGTTCTAAATTCTCTCCCTCCCTCTGAGCCTTCCCCTACCCACTTAAAAGGTAAGCAATATGATATCAATTGCACATATGAAATCATGTAAAACATATTTGCATATTAGCCATATTAGGAAGAGATTCTTTCTTTCCTCATTCTTCCTATTTCCTGGCTTTGGACTTGATGTTAGAATTGGGCTTTGCACACTTGTAGAGGAAGGGTGTGGGCAGGTCCTGTTGCTGCTTTCTTGAGATGTTGAATGTTGTGTTATCCCAGTGTTTCCATAACACTGATAGTTCAGACTGAGGACCTGCAAGCTTTCAGTGCTCCCCAAGCGGTCTTATCCAGAGCAAAGTCCAATTGCTGTACTCCTGATCTGAGTGGTGCGAGTTCCTGACCTGTTTTTTGGTTCTTAGTGATAGTAGACTACTGCTGGACTCAGCTACTATCTATTAGCTGAGAAGCTCTGCTGGGTCAGAGTGACAGAATGTAGGTTCTTCTGTGGTCTAGTTTTCTTCTTGTAGTTATTCCTCTGCAGGCTTCAGACTAGCCTAGAAGTTAGAACCAAGACCCCACTTTCTTCCTGGGCTCTGAGCCTCACTGTTGCTGCTTGCATCTGAACTAATTCCTCTTACTACCCTTACTGCACTGTGTAGGGCATGCAACTGCTTCTTTATGCACTAGAATAGAATGCAATGCCACTCTTAAGCACGGGTCCTCTCCTCAATATGGCCTCAGCCTGACCTGAAACTGGGTAGTGGGTGACACATCTGCCATCTGGCACCTTTTCCTGCACCCTGTACCAGGTCACAGTGGCCTAGTGTGATTTTGGGACCTCTTCTTGGGCTGGAGCACAGCCTCTTCCTAGGACTCCTGATCAGATCCTGTGCCCAGTGTTCACAAACCTGTCTGTTTCCCTAAGCTATCCTAGGCTGGAAAAATGACTCACTGCAATGTTTTTCCCCCCTTGGTTTTCCCCATCAGGATTCAGTCTGGTGTATTTTTTATATCTTTTTGGTAGAGTAGGGGGTGGAGAAGCTTACTTTACTTTTTCCTGGTATTCCACCATCTTGGCTCAGCCTCACCAATCTGGCTTTAACCCACATTCTTTCAAAACTCAACCCAGCTGCTACTTTCTCTGTGAAACTTTTCCTGATATCCCATTTTCCTTCTCTCTTAATTCAATTCAACAGGAATATATTAAATGATTGTACTGTGATAGGCATTGGGGATATGGAGATAAAAATGAAAAACAGACCATGTTCTCAGGACAGTCAGCCAACAAACAAGGAACTTCCCTTTTAATCAGGAAACATCACATAAAAACATAAATAAATACAAGATAATTTGAAGAGGGGGCAGGAAATCAAAGGAGACTTCATGGAATAAGTGGCACCTAAACTGATCCTTGAAGGAAACTAAAGACTATAAGAAATGGAGGTAAAGAGGGTGTTCATTCTAGATATGAGAAACCATCTTGAAAATGAAGGTAGGAGCTAGAATACCAGGCTGCTGTAATTTATATTTTATCCTGTAGGTATTAGGGTACAATTGAAGATGCTTGGGCAGAGAAATGACCTAGTAAGATCATCTGTGCTTTAGGAAAATTATTTTTGGTAGTTATGTGGAGGATAGATTGGAAAGAAGAGAGCTTAGAAGCAGAGAGACCAATTAAAAGTTAGCATAACACTAATAGCACTAATCCTAGCATTTATTTTGTGCTAAGGCACCAAATTTGCAAAGATTTGCAAATACTATCTCATTTTATTCCTATAATGACCCTGTGAGGTGGGTGCTTTTATTATGCCCCTTTTCAGAGGTGAGGAAAATGAGGCAGATAGCAGTTAAGTGACTTGCCCATCACAGAGTTAGTAAGTATATGAGGCAGGTCTTTCTAACTTCAGGCCCAGCTCTCTAATCCTCTCCACCATATAGCTGCCTATAAAGGTTTCTGAGAAAGATAGAATACAGGTATAAAATGAGGAGACACTGTCTGTATTGGTTTATTTTGTTTCCCTTATACTTCTTTGTTATAAGGGAAGGGCACAACAAACATTAATTAAAAAGGAGTTTAACAGTTAAAGAGTAGAGAGATGGGCCAATAACTGGATAGGATAAAAAGGGAAAGGTTTTTGGATTTTTTTTTAAGACTGGGGAGAACTGAAAATGGGAAGGAGACACTCAGGAGATATTGAAAATGCACAAAAATCTGTTAGGATGGAAATTAGATCAGAAATAGCTCTAAAAAAAAGAAACATAACTATAAGAAACATAGCTATAAGTGTATAGCTTAGAATATATAATGAAGCATCTCTCCAAACTAGTAGAAGCTCTTGAAAGCAGGATATGCAAAGATAATTTAAGGATTATAGGTCTTCCAGGAAAACATGATAAATTTAAAAAGGCTTTATTACTATATTTCAAGAAACAATACAAGAAAAACCTGCCTCTAAGTTTTGGAAAAGACAGCAATGATTGCAGATTGCTGATAATAAATTTCAGAACAACAATACCAAGCAACAACTTTTGCAAGCATCCAAGAGATAGGCCTTCAGCTATGAAGAAAAGCCAGTTTGAATAACACAGAATTACTCCATCTATAAGAAATCAGAAGAAAAACTGGAATAGGTTATTCTAAAAAGCAAAAGGGATCAGGATGTTCCATCAATAAGATATCCTATAAAGCTGAACCTAATAATCAAAAAAGATATATGCAAGTTCAATAGAAGAGAGATGTTTGGAATCAAATTGCCTCTTAAAATATAAGGATGACAGAATTCCAGCTAGAGAGTGAGCACAACTAATTAAAAACTTGTAAGAATATATTTACAACTCCAATAAGAAATTTAAAACTAAAATGAATGGAGGAAGGAAGATACTATGTATATCCTTCAAGTTAATACCATAGGGAGTATATCTACAATGAAGCAAGAATAGCAATTGAGGTCCACCTCCCCCAGAAGAGACCATCAAACAAAATCCAGGAAAGAAGACTAGAAGTAAAATCCATGGTCTCAAATGTCTATAAATAAATGTCCAAAGTTTAGGCAATAAATGAGAAAGTAAAAGTCCTAATGCAAAGAGGAAAATTTGACATCATTGATATAATTAAGATTTGGCGGGATAAAACACATAACTAGACCATTTGTTCTATATGGGTATATATTATTCAGAGAAATAACATAGGTAAAAAGTATGGGGTGAGATAACATTATATAAGGTGGTGCAGTGGATAGAGTGCCAGGCCTTGAGTCAGAAAGACTCATCTTCCCAAGTTCAAATCTGACCTCACACTTACTAACTGTGACCCTGGGCAAGTCACTTAACTTTGTTGGCCTCCACTTCCTCATTTGTAAAATGAGCCAGAGGAGGAAATGGCAAACCACTCTAGGATCTTTGCGAAGTATACCCCAAATGGGGTCACAAAGAGTCAGACACAGCTGATAACACCACCACCAAATATTTATATAAAGAAATCTAGGAATCAGAGCAGGGAAGCATGTTGGAGAATGTTTAGGTGAGGTCAATGGAGGAAGAAAAAGTGATTTTGTCAGTGGGGTATACTGTAGAACACCTGGACAAAAAGATGAAATTGATGAGAAATCTGGGAGATAGATCACAAGTGTAGTAGAAAGGCATAATATAGTAGTGATAGAGGACCTCAGTTATCCAGACCCTCTGCTGACAAAAGCAAAGCAAGTACATTTTTTACTTGCCTTAATAATTTTATCTTTCAAAAGGTGGGGAATCTGACAAGGAGAGATTCTATTATGAATCTGATTCTGAAGTAACTGATTCTGGAGTAAAAATGATGGGAACCCTGGGAGAGGGATGAGAGAAGAATGATCAGTCTCTCCTAGAGTTTGTGATAGAGAAGGATAGGAATCCAGGAACAATGTGATATGTACCCTGTATTTTGGCTAAGCAGATTCTAGAGGGTTAGAGGAAAGATAGATAGGGAGATATTCAAGAATGAAATTATAAAGACACAAAACGTAAATGAGGAGCAAAACAGGATTTGTCTGAAAAGACCTATGTGGTTGAACAGGGAACTTACCAGACAACTTAGATTTAAATGTACAAAAGATGGAAGCCAGGCCAGTTAACAGAAGATGAATATAAAAGTGACAGTCCTTGAAAAATAGTATCAGTAGTTTCAAATATCAGAATAAGCTGAGGCTCTTGAGGGAAGGGTGCTTTGGGTGGTTTGGTTTTGTTTAAAAGCTATATTAGGAGGAAAAGGAGAATCAAGAAAGGGATAGGACTTTTGCTTGGGGTCAGTGGGATGCTGATTACTGACAATAGATAGGAGAGCTACTCAATTATTTTGCTTTTTTTTCCTACCAAGAAGAATGACCTTAGCACTGTAAATGAGAAAGCAAAAATGACTAACAGAATTGATACCAAGATAAGTAAGTAAGGAGATAGTAAGAGAGCTAGTTCTTAGTTGCGCTTTGATGAATTTAAGTTACCTGGCCCAGATGAACTACATACATCCTCAGGTTCTTAAAGAGCTGGCAGATGTAATTGCTGAGCTACTATGATATTTGAAAGATTATAGAAAATAGGAGAGCTATCACAAAGTTAAAGACTGGCAAATATTCCAATTTCTGAAGAAACGAGAACTTCAATGAATGGACTTAAGTTTCTGGAAAATTCTAGAGCAGATCATTAAAGAGATTGTTGAAGAACCTCTAGAATGGAAAGAGATGATTACAAAGAGCCAGCATGGCTTCATCAAGAACAAATTGTGATAGACTAACCACATTTTCTTTTTTGACAAGATAACTAAAGTAGTTGATGAAGGAAATGTTAGGATTTAGTTTACTTAGATTTTAGCTAAGCTTTTAATAAGGTATCTTGTGCTATTCTGGTAGAAAAAATGGAGTTATATGAATTAGATGATAAAACAATTAGATACATTCAGAACTGGTTGGATAGATGACCAGTTGAAGAGAGTTGTTGTTAATGATTTAATGTCAAAGCAGCAAGATGTCTTCAATAGAGTTCCCTAGAGAGCTGTGCTTGGCCCTGTGCTGTTTAACATTTTTATCAATAACTTGGATAACAGCAAAGATGACATATTCATCAAATTTGCAGATAACACAAAACTGGGAGGGATCTCTAACAGATTCCAAAAAGATATTGACAGGCTTGAGCACTGGACTCTAGTAAGATGAAATACAGTAGGGATAAATGCTTCATATTTATCTTCTTTATGGCAATATAATCTACAGCAAGCAAGACTCCTTACCTTCAAGGAGCTTATATTGGGAGGTAGGGTAGAGAATACACAAAGAGGAGTTGGAGAGGGAAGGAGATGCTGAGCTAGGCAGAATGATTTGAAGCTGGTGGCCTACAACTGAGGTGGAAACTTGGTTCCAAGCAAGATAAATCCAAAGCAAACTTATTAGATAGGGCCTGGAATAAAGTCCAGATTTCCAGTAAGGAGAACAAAAGATTAAGAGAATGGATAAGAAAACAAAACTCTAAAATCTTGCTAGCAGGAAACATACTTTTTTGGGGGAGGAGGGCGAGCCTATAACTAGTTAACCCTCTTCCTTTCATTCTATGCCATCTCTCTACCCCTCCACTCAAAAAGAAAAAAAAGAACCCCTCTAACAAATATCTATAGTAGAGCAAAACAGATCCCCATATTGGCCATGTCTGAAAATGTATGTCTTTTATTTTATATACCCCCATTTTACATTATATCTTATTCTAATGAAATGATTTTGTTCATGGAAAATTTTTTAAATATTATGTAGTCAAAATTATCCATTTTGGCTTTTGTGATCATTTCTGTCTCTAGCCATAATTGTGAAAAATTGTTGTTCACTTGTATCTCACTCTGTGACCCCATTTGGGATTTTATTGGCAAAGATACTGCAGTGGTTTGCCATTGCCTTCTCCAGCTCATTTGATAGATGAGGAAACTAAGGCAAACAAGGTTAAATGACTTGCCCTGGATCATATAACTAGTGTCTGAGGCTGGATTTGAACTCAGGAAGATAAGTCTTCCTAACTCCAGGCCCAATGTTCTTTCTTCTGCAGCATCTTGCTGCCCCAGCTGCTGTGAAAAGTACCTCCTTCTATTCTCATATGTATTTTTTCATACATATTGGTTTAAAGAAAATATCTAGAATTTAAGCATCTATTTTTGTTGATAAATGATTATCCTTGCAATTAAGTTTGGCAAAGACATAGCCATCAAAATATTCATGATTAAACTTTTGAATAAATGATGGTTTACTTTCTATTGACTTCCTAAGTATATACTTCAGTTCAGACTCAGTGTCATTAAAATAATCATAATTAAGCTCCTGTAAAATTGACTTTTTAAAAGCTAGAATATTTTATAGTACTTGTGTGTGTGTAGCCTCTAAAATTAAAATTTGTGAATGAGGAAGATTATTACCAAACAAAATATGGTTTTGTGGGAAGAAGAAAAGTTTAAACAGAATCCACTGATTGTGATTTCAATTAAATTACTCTGAAAAAAGGCAGTCTCATTTATTTTTAGATAACTGTGTTTTCCATTTCCTCAAGGATGGAGATTTCCTCTCATCAGTCTCACCTGTTGCAACAACTTAATGAGCAACGCAGGCAAGATGTGTTTTGTGACTGCAGTATTCTAGTTGAAGGGAAGGTCTTCAAAGCACATAGAAATGTGCTATTTGCAAGTAGTGGCTACTTTAAAATGCTTCTTTCTCAGAGCTCAAAGGAGACTAGTCAGCCAACCACAGCTACATTTCAAGCATTCTCACCTGATACTTTTACTGTTATTCTGGACTTTGTATATTCAGGCAGACTTTCTCTCACTGGTCAAAATGTCATAGAAGTGATGTCAGCTGCTAGTTTCCTTCAGATGACTGATGTCATTAGTGTATGTAAGACCTTCATTAAGTCTTCACTTGATATAAGTGAGAAAGAGAAGGATCGCTATTTCAGTCTCTCAGATAAAGATGCCAATTCCAATGGTGTAGCAGAACGTTCTTCTTCTTATAATGCTGGGTGGTGTGGAGAAAGCAGCCCTCCACAATCTCATGTAAGTCCAGATCAAGGAACATGTACCATGAGTGGAAAATCTTGGAGTAATTACAACTACTATCCAGCTTCCCAAAGGAGCACTCAGCAGCCCCCACCGAAACATGAACAAAGACAAGATTCTGTTAAAAAGTCCAGGCATTTGGGGTTACCACAGTCTACAGATGTTCCTCATTACAAGTCAAGCAAACTTGAAGAGCGTACTTCTGAGCCTAATCGCACTCCTCCATCTGAAGAAAAGGTACAAACTGATGCTGGAATTGACTCCCCTCGTGTGGGGCATAAGTATGGCAAAGGATCTGATGTTACACCCAGAAGCCTACCAGGTTCTCAACAAGAACAAGAATCCTCTCGATCTACATCCAAGTCACCTAAGACTGATGAATCCTATTCCAATATGCCTTTAATTTTAGGTGTTATGGGCAGCTGGAATGAAGGTAAGAAGTGATTACTTATAAAATCTGTACCCATGATTTTCTAATAACACCATACTTTAAAATTAATTAATTACAAAGTTAAAGAAATCATAAATAAAGGGGACATAGATATTGAATACGTTTATTGACAGCCAAGAAGTTAAAAAGACAAGAGGCAGTGAAAATATACTTTTCTATTACTACACTAGGGAGATTGCTGTTAAATGTTCTATCCTAATTTCTAAACAGTTCAATCATTTAAAACTGATATAAATATTTTATTCTTTCCAAATAATTATAGTCATCCAAAAAGACCTAAATATAAAATTTTGATAAAGGAGAAGGAAAATAAAATGATCATGTAAGTTGACATACATTCTCAATAACTAAGAAATTAGATTAGCTCTAAGTCCATCAAGTTATAACTGAAAATTGAATAAATTGAATTGAATAAAAACTGCATACCTTCTGCCATACTCCTTTTTTCCTGGTACTAATGCTATACTTTTTCATGTGATTAATATATGCCTTATTGACAAGGTACTGGTAAGTGTACAAGGGGGAAAATGGCAAAAATTTTCCACACTGATAGTTAAAAAAAAAATCACAAGCCGCAAATAGTCACGTCAAGAATTATTTATTAACCTCCTCTTATGTGCCAGGCGCTGTACTAATAAAGCTCTAGATATACAAAAAAGGGTTTTAAAAATGAGTTCTTGCTTTCAAGGAGTTCATAGTCTTAATTAAAGAAAGCTACTCAAATAACTATGTTCAGACAAGATTATATACAGGATGAATAAGAGAGAATCAATAGAAGGAAGGCATTAACATTAAAGGAGATCAGGAAAGGTTTCTTGGAGAAGATGGGATTCCAGCTGGGACCTGAAGGAAGTCAGGGAAAGTAGGAGATAGAGAATTCCAAGTATCAGGGACAGCCAGTGAAAATGCATGGAGCTGGGAGGTGGAGTGTCTTGTGCAAGGAAGTCAGTATACCTGGGTTATAGAGAATGTGGATGAGAGTAAGGTATAAAAAAACTGAAAAGTAGGATGGGACCAGGTTGTAAAGGTCTTTTAAAGACAAAGGAATTTTTGATTTGACCATGGAGGTAAGCTGTTTAGGAATTTTCTAGGTATTTAAAAATCATTGATCTTTTACAAGAGACCAAAAAGTTACCTTCTCCTCTCTTTTCCACCTCCAGTTTGGGTAGTACTGGAATTATAACATAATGATAACATGACTGACTTGTTAATTTTTGCCCCAATAATATAAACAATCTATTTTAAAAGGCTATTAAACTGATGCATTGTTTGCCTTTGTGACAAATTCTCTTTTTTTTTGTTAACACTTTTAGTCTTTTATAGAGACAGCATGGCATATAATGGATAGAGTGCTGGACTTGGAGTCAGGAAGACTAGGATTCAAATCCTGCCCCTGACACTTAACTGGCTGTGTAACCATGGGCAAGTCAGTTAACTCTGAGCCTCAGTTTTCTCATCTGTAAAATAGGGATAATGACTTATACAGTACCTAATTCATATAGCTGTTGTTAAAACTCGTTCAAGATAATGCACATTATCTTTGCAAATTTTAAAGTTACAATGTGTCAGGTTTTTTGTAATACAGTGGACAATAACTGAAATTGCATATTTCCCTATTAAGCAATTATTAGCTCTACTTTTAAAGAACTTAGACCACCAAAATAGAGCTAATAATACACATTTGTATATAATATTACATATTTAACATATAAAGCCTACTTAAAAGGTTAAATTTACTTAGTAGTAGTGATTTGCCTTCTAGTTTCATCCTTCTAGTTTCAAAATGCAGTATTTTTCAAAAGTATAGTAAGTTAGGGGAATGTACTTAACAAATATAGCCAAATTCATTTGGTTATTGAATACACAGCCTTAATAAAACTTCCCTTAAGTTTAAAAAAAGTCTCTGCAAATCTTTTGGATTTTTATATGTTATTAAAATTACTGTATAAACTCACTATTTAATGAGATTGTTTTATAACAGATGAACTGCCTAGAATGAGATTCAAATGCCCGTTCTGCACACATGTGGTGAAACGGAAAGCAGATCTAAAGCGCCACCTTCGCTGCCATACGGGAGAACGGCCTTACCCTTGTGAGGCCTGTGGGAAAAGATTCAGCAGGCTAGACCATCTAAGTAGCCATTTTCGAACAGTACGTATTTGAAAAATCTCAACGTTTATTTTTAGTAATATGTATCTGTGGATATTAGGACAATAATATAGGGCAGCTATTTTATAAGCCGCACATAAAGAGCCAGCACTGCTACAAGGCAGCCAGGATATTGCCCGAGGTACAAACATGAAGGCATGCTTCTCCAAACCTAAGGCTGCTATCCCATAGGGTCATAAGGCCATCAAGCCCCTTTCCTAGTACCTACTTTCTTTTTTAAAAGGTTCTACTGATGTGTTTTGTTTTTACATTAGAAACATTTACAGATTACTTCCACTTTGGGGTTTCTTATAACAAAGTAAAATCAGTAAGTAAAATTAATAATATAGTGACCTCATCTGAAAGTTCATGCAACATTTCACACTTCCCACTTCATTGGGTAAAAAAACAAATTTCTTGTAATGGACATACATAGACAAACAAAATAAATCCCCTCAATGGCTCTGTGTGTGTGTGTGTGTGTGTGTGTGTGTGTGTGTGTGTGTGTGTGTGTGTGTGAGTGTGTGAATGTTTGTGTTTATATACCCTAAAGTTATAACCTCTATGTATGTAATAGATACTGTATTTCATTACTGGTCCTCGTGGAATCAAGAATGATCATTAAATTTACCATAGTTCTTACAGCTTTTAAAGTTATTGTATAAATTGTATAAATTGTTCTAGTTCTGCTTATTTCATTCATCAGTTTATAAAAGCCCTCAAAACAGGTCATTTTCATAATATTGAAGTTAAGAGTATAAATTTTTCTTTTGGTTTTGCTTACTTCACTCACCATCCGTTCATATAAATCTTTACATATCTTTTTGAAATCACCCATTTCCTCATTTCTTATAGTACAACAATATTTCATCACATTCATATACCATAACTTATTCAGCCATTCCTCAATTGTTGGACATTTTCTTAGTTTCCAGTCTTTTACCACTACAAAAAGACTGGCCTGAGGACCAGTGAAATACAGAACACCACACCTACAGTCATCAAGGGAAATCAGTGTTGATACTGGACACTGTCCTCTCACCCCCCTAGTAAACTCAGTCCTAAACCTCCCCAGTTCTTATATACCTCTGCCCTTCCTTAAACTACCTTTTATTTCTTCCTGTCATATTGCTTCCATTTTCTGATGCTCACTAGAACTTAGCTTCATCATGAAAACCTGTTTCGATACTTTCTTCAAGACTAATAGAGTTTTAATTTCATACCCATTGACACACTAGGGCTAGGAGGAGTTGGTATACTACTTTCTCCTGCTGCCATTTTCAGACCTTTTCTCTGCCACTATCTTTCTGCAAACATCACTTCATCTTGTTATCCTTGTTGCTTTTGATTATGGACCTCCAGGTCAGTCTCCCTCTTCTGCACCAAGTTCAATACCTGGTTCAGTTGTGTTCTCCAGCCCTCTGTGAATATCCTGATCTCCTAGTTCTTCATGTCCCCAGCACTCAAGACTTGTGCTTCCAGTTTATCTCAGCTGCTGAAGAGAAGGTCCTACCTACCCCTTCATATCAATTTGCCTCTAATATTGAAATTCTTGCTTTTTTTTTGTTTTTGTCTTGTTTTTGGAGATAACTGGGGTTAAATGACTTTCCCAGGGTCACACAGCTAGTAAGTGTCTAAGGCCAGGTTTGAACTCAGGTCCATCTGACTCCAGGGTTGGTGCCCTATCCACTGTGTCACCTAGCTGGAATTCTTAATTATGGCTCTGGTTTCCTTTGGGCTTAAGAAATTATCAACTTAAAATTATCCTACATACTTCAAATACATAAAGGATCTGTGATTTTATTGATATATACACTTTTTCCACTAGTACAGATAACCTTTTTTTTTTTTAAAAGAATTTCTGAGGCCAAAAAAGTCATCAGTTAGTACCCAGGCCTCTGGTGGCATAGATAATACCGCTTTAGACCACTCAGTCTGACTTCAATTCCTGACAAAATCCTGAAAGGCATTATTAAAAGGAAAGTTAATGATTATCTAGAATAGGAAGTGACTATCACAGATCACAGAGAGCCAGCATGGTTTAATCAGGAAGAGGTCTTGCCAGACTAATTTCATTTCCCTTTTTTGACAGAGGCACTGGACTCACAGATCAGAGGAATAACGATAATAGTTTGCCAAAATTTTAGCAAAGTATTTGATAAATTCTCCAGTTCTTTTCTTTTGGATGCAGATATATGGGCTAGATGATGGCATAGTCCAGTGCATTTTGAACTGAATAAGTGGCTAGACCTAAAGGGTAATTGTTAATGGGTCAATGCCACCTTGTAAGAAGGTTTCCAGTTAAGCACCTTACAGGTATGTGCTTAGTCTTGTGTTGTTTAACATTTTAGCAACAGCTTGAATTAAGGTAAATAATAAAGCTAACAGACCGGATGGCAAAGAAAGGATTCTAAAAAGATCTTGACTGGGTTGAAGCAAAAAAGCTGAAATTTAATAGGGAAAATATAAATTCTTACACTTGAGTTCAAAAAATTAACTTCACAACCACAAAATGGAGCTACACAGCAGTTTGTCTAAAAAAGATATTTTTCATAGACTAAATGTTCAATGAGACAACAGTGATGTGGCAACTAAAAAGAGCCTTTAAGCTGCATTAGGAGAGGTACAAGTATCCAGGAATAGGGAATTGAGAGTTTATCATTATTTTCGCTTATACCTTATCTAGAACACTATATTCAGTTCTGGGTGCCAGATGGAGCAAGAACTAGAGAAACCAAGCCTTCTCATTTCTATTCCAGTGTTATAGGATATGATACTGCTTTTAAGAAACAGTAGCAGGTAATCCTTTCCCCATCAAGAAAAACTTATTTTGGTAAATTATAATTTTGGGAGAAATATTTTCTCTAACATAACAGTGAAAGCAAAAAAAAACAAGGTAGGATCTGGGCTCAAACAGTGGAGATTTTAACTTCCCAGGCTCATACTATTATGGTCGGAAGGACCCTCAAAGGCATCTAGTCCAACCCATACTTATAATAGATCACTCTACTACCTGCAACTTCTTCTAACCATTCTCCCTGGTACTGCCTTCTGGGACCAAGCAGGGGAAAAAAAATTGAACCCCTCTTCTACACCAATGGTTCTATTATAGCCTTCCCAACTCCCAATAAATTTTATGTTTTGCCATGTTATACCATAATATTGTTTGATTAAAGGAAAAACCAAAATAGGAAGGGTTAAAGATTAAGATATTAAACTCTGTACTTTATTTCGAAAGATTTTATTAGTGTAGATACTCGTATCTTTCACTGGTAAAGACTGCAAAAACCCTCCATATCAACTCGGTAGTTGCTTTTTGATGATTTACTATGGCCAGAAAAATTCATCACCCAGTGGACAGCCTTCCTCTGGTAATTAATTAGCTAACCTCTCTGTACTCACTTGATCTTTGTACAATAGTCCATCTAACCAGGCCCATACTTGGTCTTTTCAGCTTGGTATGAAATGCCAGAGTTTGTGCTGCCATGACATGATGTTCCTTCATGCCATAAGACATCAGATAAACACTCTGCTGAAAGAATAATTTTATAGCTAACACATTTTAGAAAAATTCTATCAAGTGAAATATTCTGGAACTTAAGGATTAAATATGATTTTACTTTAAATGTTTCAAGCTTGGCCTGAAGTTGATTATCATCTTAAGTTTACAAATTGACACGTCTTTCTGTTTTGTAATGTGTCTTGCTTTTGAGAAATCAATGTTTTTGTATCTATTTAATTATTCACATAGATTCACCAGGCATGCAAGCTAATCTGCCGAAAATGCAAGCGTCATGTGACTGATCTAACTGGACAAGTGGTACAGGAGGGAACAAGGCGCTACAGACTGTGCAATGAGTGCCTTGCTGAAGCTGGCATAGACAGCATCCCCATTGATTTGGGAGCTGAACAACCACTTGCATCCCCTTCAGATGGAGATAAGAAGTCAAAATGGCAACTGAGTGAAGGACAAAAAAAATCTTATGTGGAGATTGTAGAGGATGGGTCTGCTGATCTGGTCATACAACAGGTTGATGATAGTGAAGATGAAGAAGAAGAAAAGGAAATAAAGCCCAACATTAGGTAGTTGTGAAACAACTGACCTAGCATGTCTTATATTTGAATTCTTATATTTCTCTCTTCCCCTGACAAGAGTCTGGTTAACACATCTATCATATTGGCTTTTTTTAAATGACCTGATCTAATTTGCATGCATTTATGGACAAACCATTAAGTTCACATTCTGAACTATGTTGCTCTGGGGTACCAGTATGTTGCTGCACTGGAAAAGAGGACATAGCTTGAGTTGGCATGACGGATGAACAACTGATCTCTGAACTATAATATAGTAATACTTTTTATATATTAGAAGATCAACTTGAGAAATTTTTCAGTGATAAACATTTAAGATAAATTAACTATAGCCAAACATGAAACTTTATAAAACTTTCCAGATGCTTTTTTAAAAAATAGATAAGCTATCACATATTGCATATTCCTGGGGAAAAAAAAGGTAAGAGCACATTTCAGAGTCTTGCTGCCCACCTCAATGCACTAATAAAAAATCTTTTATGATGATTTCATATCTGGAACAGCTGGTTTGTTATTATTCCAAAATGTATAAAATGGCTTAGGAGTTATAACAGAAAACTACAGTTTTAAGATCAACATTTGAAGTTAGAAATTCATATAAAGTGCCATGATAAAGTACCAAAAGCTGTCAGAGGTGTAAAACTTGCAAAGTGTAGCTGGAATCAGATTAAAATGTAAATGGAAAATGAACAAAACAAATAAAAACCTTTCTATTTGAGTTTGACAGCACTGAGTTAAATTGGTGATTGACAAAAAGTGAGAAACAAGACAACATTTCATTTATTGTAACTTTTCTAAAAGCAAGAAACCAATACTAAAATTTAGGCTGGAGTATATGAAATCTTGCTATTTCAGTTTTTCTTTTGGAAAATGTAACAGTTTATATTGTTCTTATTGATTCTTTTCTGAAACTATTAAGAATAAAGGCAAAACCTCACTAAAATGAGAGACTATTTAAATACAGCAGTTATTAGGCTATTAGAGTATTGCTTAGTAAAACATTCGTTTCTAATAGATTAAAATAATTAGCAATACCAATTGTTTTATATAAATTAATGCTTCTAAAACTATGAATAAGTTTCTATTAAAAAAATTTAAAATATTTTATTGTTATATTACTTAGCATGCTTTAATTTTTTTTAACTTGAGCAAGCAAGTAAATTTCAGTTCTGCCAAAATTATAAAATAATTTCAAAATAAGAGGCAAAATTTGTGAGGAATAGCTATGGTTCTAAAGTTGAAAACTAGATAGTAGTATTAAAGAACCTAAGCCATTCTTCATTTTAAAAAGTCAAAGCAAGTGTTGTCACTTTTAAGTTAGAAATTCTTTTTTTTTTTGAGGTTAAAGGCTGCATACTCTATTAAAAAATACAAAAACACCATATTACACATCAAGATGGTACCTCTTATTTATTATTTTGTATCCTTTCTAACCATTATCCTTGATACAGATTTGTGGGCATAAAATTATTAATGTATATGCGCACTAATGAAAGACCACTGTCTTTGATGGTATTCTTAGAACTTCATCAGGATTACCCTTATTGAAATTACCTAAAAAATCAAAGCAAGGGGCAGCTAGATGGCACAGGGAGCTCTGGCCTTGCAGTCAAGAGGACCTGAGTTCAAATCCAGCCTCACTAGCTATATGACCCTGAGCAAGTCACTTAACTCTGATTGCCTCACAAAAAAAAAAAGGCAGAGAAATCTAGCTAATATTCTAGGGTTCTCTAACAAACATCTCTGAATCAGGGTGCTTAAAGTTGTTCTCTGCTCATTCTCTAATGCTATTGAGGGTAATACTGACCCCTTTACAGAATTAACAGATTTTAATTAAGAATCTATAAGAAAATGGCTAATTTGAAATTCATTCATCTGAATGAATAGTGTCTCATATATGTACTCATATTTTACACATTTATGTGCATTTACATACACACATGTACTCTCAAAGTTTATGTTTTGAATGTTCTTTTATGCTATTACCCTCTCTGCATGGGAATGTAAACACTGTCAGCATGAGTGTTAATATTTCTTCTCAACATGTTACCGTACCAGGGCACGTAGAGTAATTGTATCTTTTCAGAATTGATGCTACCCCTTGACAGTAAAAAGACATTAACCAAGAGTATCATTCCCCACACCATCAATACCCAGATACCTATTAAGTGGGTCCAAACTATTGGGCAGTTCTATTATATTATATATAGCAAGATATAATTTAAAAATATGATAAATAACAACCTTGCAAAATTTCTGATTAAATTATAAAAGATAGCTGTAATTAACTTACAAAGGATTTCTAATCAGGAAACCTTCTAAATTGTGATTCCATACAAAGTGACTCTTTTCTACATTAATACATTCTATACAGGGGATGCTTAATAAATATTGAATTGAATTTAAGGGGACTGAAAGCTTTGAATACTATATATGAGAAAATGTTTTATGGGACAGTAATTGCTTAAGTAAGCCTTATACTAAGGATTTTTAAATTTTTTAACACAGGAAACTGATTTAATTTGGAGTGAAGATTACAGTAGTAGACATTTTGTTCCAATCAACTTCTGAACTCTGTCACAACTGTCAATGGAAGAGTGTTAACTGATGAGCTTGGATCCTTGCAGAAACAATGTGGAACATAAATTCTCCATTTAAATGCAGTTCTGCCTGGAGGCAGCAAAATGAACTAAATAACTTCTTGAATTCTCTGAATTCTATCATCTTAAGGTCTCCTACCCTACATCATTTAATTGTTTATGTAAGCAAATGAACATATAACAAAGAGGCTGGCTTTTGGAATAGCAAGTAATATTCTTAATCTACTCAGCTTTTCCTATATATGGCTAAGTTAGCTCTGAAGTTTTCAACGAAGGTCAAAACTTAAATATAGTGTTTAGCAACGTTAGCTCTGAGCAATTAAATTAAGTCACTTAACCTGAGTCTCCTTTTCCTCATCTATAAAGTGGAGGTAGTATGATACAGTGGTAAGAGCACAGCATTTAGAGTCAGAGGACCTCAGTTTAAATTTGTCATTGCCACTTACTATGTGCATGACATTGGGCAAGTCACTTCACCTCTCTAGGCCTCAAGTTTTCTCATCTGTCAGATGAAAGGGTTGGAGTATATGACCTCTACGGTTCCTTCCAGATTTAAATCTATGCTCCTGTGATAAAGTATAGGGATGGCTTTAATATAAACCAGTTAGAGTTTGATGACTCAGTTCCACAAAGATTTATTATCTACTACATACAAGGCACCAATGCTTACTGCTCTCAAGGAGGTGACATTCTACTGACAACTTAAGTTGTCAGATGGTTGTTAGTTAAGTATTAAATTCATTAAAAATTATTTTTATAATCCATGTGGCCTGATGAATATCCCTTCCACTTATATTTTCAGCTTTTATATTTTTTTGGCTATAAAACATTAAGAAACAGTATATTAAAAGTTTAATTGGTATATTGTGTGACACCATTTCCAGAGCTTTCTTGACATTCAACTATACATGAAACCTCAAATTATAAGCAAAAAAATATATATTACATTTTGTTAAGATTTACTAGTATTCGTATTTAGCCTTTATACTGCATTTTATACTTGCAAAGTGCTGTAATAATTATTATCCTTCATATATCGATGAAATAGGGCAGTTATTTCACTTTAAAGATAAGGACTCTGAGGCACAAGACATTTAACCTATAAGTAGCCAATCAGTGACAGTAATAGAAACTAAAACCATCAGATTTCTTGGAATTCTAGAGTATTATGTACTACTTAGCTCATTAAACTGTAATGTTTATCACTAGTTTTATAAGGTAACTTTTTACAAATAACATTCACCTGTTTTAAAGCATTGTATGGATATACCATATACAAAATAAATATTGTTCATATAAAGCAGACTACTTTTAACTACAAGAGTTTTAAATAACATGGAATTTAGGTTTTCACAAAAATGGCATTAAAAGTACATTAAGACATTTTGTATGTTGTTAAATGTAATTCCTATTATATCCAACTTTTTGTTTTGTTGTTCAATCTTAATTGAATTTTCGTGCTAATGAGAATAGAACAGGATGGGAAAAGAAATTAGTGAGAATCCTCAAATCTCATTTTAGACATGTTAACATTCCCCCCTTCCCATAAACTTTTAAATCAGATTTGTTGGCAAGTAATCAAAATGGTACACTTACATGTCATTTCTTTTCCTTCTGTGGTGCATCCTCTAAGAAAAAATGCTAAGCAAATTAAGCTTTAAAACAACTACTTTCTTATTCCTTTTTATTTGCTTTTCAGTTCTTTGTTCATATTTTTGTTCAGTTGTAGAGCATTTGTGAAATAGCACATATTCATCTGTTCTTAGGACAGTGGTTTTGCATACTTATCAAGAGAGTGAGGAAGGCACCCCTTAAGTGGATAACTGTGGTAAACTTAGGGAAAGATATGGACAAGAGTTGCACAGGATGGCTTTGTAAGAGTAGGGTTATGATCTACATATTTGAAGAGAATAACCATATTGATGACATTACAGATCCATTTAGGTATGACCCCAAAAACTGAACCATGAACCTAATGGACAGGTGTGCACACACACACACACACACACACACACACACACACACACACACGCACGCACACACAAAGCCACTCTTCTGGGAAACAACTGAGAATTTACCACTTAGCTTTTACATGACATTTCAGTTTGAGGGAGGCAATTTGATTTATATTTACCCCCTAAGAATGATTCCCTTTTAATCTGAGAAGGAAGAATTTGAGATTTATTTATTCTTAGAAGGGAGTTTTATGTCTGTTTATCTGAATTGGTCTATGTTTTTTTGTTGGTTAAGAAGTCAGCTCCAGGAGGCTACAACTAGTTGACGGCCAATCCTGTTTTCAAAATGCTGATTTCAAAATACTGTTTAAAACTACAAACTACTATTATTTTAAAGAGATGCTATAAATTTATGCCCAAAATAAAAGTTATTTATCATCTGCACTGGAAAAATAGTTTCATTTCTCAATACCAACCATTGTTTACTTTGCTCCTTCAGAGGTGTAAATAGAGTAGTCTCATTGAACCCAATAACCCAGAAAGAAACTGGAAAGAAAAAAGGACATCTCTAATCTCCCAAGGAAGTTGTGAACTACAAACACAATTCTGCCTAGACTCGATCTGAGTGGTGCTTTTGTCTAAACCCAGTATGGAAAGAATGGAGCACAAGGTAGACTAGAACAAGAAGATCAGGATGGGGAAAGAGGACAACAATCCAATCAGGCTTTCATAATGTACCCTAGCTTCATATTTTTTGTGTTATGAGTTACAGAACACAAAAGACTTAGCCACATAATTAAAGCACCAAAAAAAAAGCATTCCAAAGTTTTTAAACTTAGTTTTCAATTACCTCCTATTTTGGATTTTCCATGCTATTACTCCTAATTATTACTTTTGTCAAAAGAAAAAAAAATACCAAAATTCTACTTTGTGTTAAGCATTATTATGCCAGAAATAATATTATTAATGTAACACTAAATCCAAGTATTTCTTGCTTAGAGAAAGATGGATGTCCAAATTGGCAGAATTGCTTCAAGTCCTCAGTCGTGTCTCTACCCTAAGACAATATGAGGTGACATTTACAAGAATCTTGAACAAAGAAAAGGCTGCAATATGTTAAAAATACAGTTTCTAGAACAGATTTTTTAACCTGGGAACCATGAACTTGGACAGAAAAGAAAAAGTGTTTCTTTATTTTCATTAACCTCTTACTGATATTTAGCATTCAGTTCAATTATTCTGCTAAAAAGGGTCCTTGACAAAATAAGGTTTGCAATTCCCCATTCCAGAACAAATCACTTAATCTTTCTTCCTTGACCGCTGTCCTCAAGGAAAGGACTTTCTCTCTATGATTAATACCATCATCTTTTCAGAATGGAAAACAGGGCACTGTCCTGAGGTGAGCTACTGTCCCCATCACTTTAGGGGATGAGAAAAGAAACTAAACAAGAAGCAATTTTTGTTCTATTTAGTTATCACCCCTTTTTTCATTTTTCAGAGGCCTTAATTTTTTGTTCTTGACCTTCTATACATTTTACTAAAGGGAGTTCCAAAAGGATTTCAGGCTGTAGAAATATTCATTTCTTAATATTTTCAGTTTAACTAAAAAGGTGGTTTTTAATATGCTACTACATCCCAAATAAGATAATTTACTAAAACCAGAAAACTGAAAAAACCTTAATGATTTGATGTCCAAAAAGTACTTAGCATTTACAACAGTATGAAATAAATAGAACTATTGCTACATATTAACCCTTTATTCTGTTTTGTTGTTTAGTCATTTTAGTCATGGTCTGATTCTTTGTGCTCCCACTTGGAGTTCTCTTGGCAAAGATCCTGGAGTGGTTTACCATTTCCTTCTCCAGCTCATTTTACAGATGAGGAAACTGAGGCAAATAGGGTTAAGTGACTTGCCCAAGGTCATACAGCTAATACAAATCTAAGGCCATATTTGTACTCCAGAAGATGAGTCTTCCTGACTCCATGCCTGGCACCCTATCCACAGTACAACCTAGCTGCCCCAGAACCTTTTATAGTAAGTTAAATTAGACCTTTTTCAACTGTTTTCAATTAATTAATAGAAAAATAGTGTTCAGGACATTAACTACATCAGTTTGAAAAACCTTCAAGTAAAATTATGAACAAAAGGAAATTTATCTTTACTAAGCAAGACTGTATTATAGAAAATGTTAGACTTAGTGCCAAGTCACCTTGACTATTGCTGGCAGTACCATTTAAATGCTGTGTGACCTTGAGCAAAAACACTACCTCTCCAAGCTTCAGTTACTTATCTGCAAAATTAGAGTATCATGCCATAGATAAGGAGGTTCTAAGATTCCTTCCAGACTAAGTATTATAGCTGATGAGTTAAAACTTAAGTTTTTAGCACAAAATAACCATTTTCAATTCCTAAATTTAAGATTAAGTATCCTATGCAATCCATACCTTTGAAGTATTCCTTCTTCTAAAAGGTAGCTCAGATTGCAGCAAAGCAAGGATGACAGTTATCTCCATCATTATTAGCTATGGTGTTAGAAATTTCTGATAGCTGTAGCAAAAAGATAAGAAAAAGAAAGTGAGGGAATAAGCATAGACAAAGGAAGACAATATTATCTCCTCAGAGGATATGACAGACCTCTAGAACATAAAAATTTAATTGAAAAAATAGCTTTTGTAAAGTAATAATACAAAATAAATTTCTCCGAAGCACAAGCATTTCTTTGTTACTAACGACCTAGGAGGATGAAAGAAATTCCATTTAAAACAACAAAGTACACTATCTGGGAGTTAACCCACCAACATACACACAGGAGATATAAATACCACTACAAAACAATGTTCACAGCAATAAACAGACCTAAATGCCTAGAAAAAATTCAATATTTGCTATTGCGTATGATATAAAATACTGGGCTAACTTTTTTTCTTAAAACTTCATCAAGTCAACAAGCATTTATTCAGCACCAGCTCTGTGTCAGGCACTGTACTAAGGGCTAAGGATATAAGAGAAAGGCAAAAAAAGAAACCTGGCATTCAAGGAGCTCACAGATTAATGGGGGGGGACAATAAGCAAACAACAAATGTATAAACAAGCTATAGGAAAAATTGGAAATAAGCAATGGAGGGAAAGCAGTAGCATTGAGGAGGATCAGGAAAGGATTCCTGCAGAAGGTAAGATTTTAGTTGGGACCTGAAGGAAATCAGGGAAGCTAGGCCATAGAAATAAGAAAGGAAAGAATTCCAGGCATGGGTATAGCCATTGAAAATGAATGGAGTAGGGTGATGGGAGTATCTTTGCTAGGAAGAGCAAGAAGGCCAAAGTAGTGAAATCATTAAGTCTGTAGAAGTGAGTATAAGAAGATAACTGGAAAAGTATAAGATTATGAAAGGCTTTAAAAACTAAACAAAGGATTTTATATTTGATCCCAGACATCATCCCAGGGCCAAAAGAGTTTACTGAATTGTTGGGGGATGGGAGGGAGAGGAAAGGTGCACACTCATTGTATACAGTCAGATCACCATTTCAGAAAGATCACTGGTAGCTGAGTGTAGGATGGATGGGGGTAGGAAGAAACTTGAGGCAGGAAGACCAATCAGTAGACTACTGCAATAGTCTAGGTGTGAGGTGATAAGAGCCTACACCAGGGAGCTGGCAGCATCAGAGAAGGGAGTATATATAAGAGATGTTTCAAAGGTAGAATTAATAGAACTTGGCAACATATTCCAGGGGCTACAAACATAAAGAACCAGCATTGCAAAACTCTGAACTGCCAGTGCAAAAAGCAGGCTCTGAACTACCAGGGCTGGGCCAGAGAATTAAGGAATAGAGGGAGCAGGACAAGTCACTAGGACACAACACCCTGCATGTGAGGAGTTGTACAGCACTCTACTAAGCCTGAGGAAAAGAGCATCTAACTGGGGCATTTCTGACCATTCAAAAGTCAGCTGGGGCAGAGATCTAGGGGAGTGAATCATGAATTGCCCAGTGTGGTAGAAAGCTGAGATGTTTGGAGATCCAGCCTCTAAAGAAATCATAATCAGAGAGTTAGGAATTAAATGATAAGAAAAATAATGGGGGGGGGGGCTGGAGGAATGAAAGTACCAAAAGTACCAAAGATTTCAGGGAGAAGAAATCTCAAAAACCTTGAACATAAGCCAATAAGTCAACAGGAAAAACAGTAGCAGAAGGAAATATAGCTTCCTGATCTAGTAAATGAATTCAGGTATCTACGAATAAATACTGCAAAACGAAGGAAAATGATCCAACACTTGATGAAATGGAAGATCCTGTGGAATGTGAGGAGATATGAGTGGTTTAAAACAAATGAGATTTATGAGAGAGACTTTACGTCCTGCACAGAAAAAATAATGAATAGAATAGAAAAACTTGAATCTATAAAACTTTGAAACTGAAGGGGGAAAAAAGCCTCACCAAAGAAAACAAAAGAGAGAACAATAGATTGGGAATGTAGATACACAGAAGTAAAGGACAATCTAGAAGATGAAAAGCATAGGTCTCCCAGAAGAACAGGACAGGACAAAAAACTTTACACCACAATGAAAGAAATCATAGAAGAGAATTGCCCAGAACTTCTAATGAAATCCCAACTGAAGGAATTCACAGAATGCCTCAAGAAAAAAACTCATTCCAGACTGCAAACTGTTAAATTTAACAATTCAATTCAGAAACAAGAAAAGAGCTCGGATTCTTATAATCTAACCACTGCTCAGATTCCTAAAATCTAGACACTGCTTAGATTCTTATAAACTAGCTAATAGCTCACTAATGTTCAGGCTCCTTAAGAGTCTGCCTAATTTCTAATAAACCAGGAAAAACTGCCTAATACTAAGCTCCTCACCAGCCATGAGTGGAAGATTTGTGTCTTGCAGATTATAGGCCATTCACCTAAAGTTGGTAGCAAACAGTGGGTACCAGCCAATGTCCCCCCATCGTCCCTTGGATGCAGCTTGTGCTTGGTTCCAGTCAACCTCCTATTGGGACCCGCTGAAGGTAAGAACAGCTCTACACCCCTTGCCAGCAAGGAAGAAGTTTCAGAAGCCAAGACCTTTGCCCCTTACCTGAAAAGAATTTGGGTCCCATTTGTTTGAGGGGGGAATGATGAGGATGGGATCTGGACCCCAAAAGGGAAAAACCCAGGACTTTCCCACTTGGCCAAATCTCTGGCATTCACCTGAAGCTATAATCCCATCACCTGGCCTTTCTTTGTGGCTACACCCAATCCCCCAATTCTCCAGTTACCCTTAACCTAGCCTAGACCTCCCTATGTCCCCAGGCCACTTCTCACCCTTAATCCTATCTAGGCTCCATTCTCCCTTGGCCACCCCTGGAGTTCTATTACTTCATAGACTACTTGGCCACTCCTAGATCCCTCCCATAGCCTTTCTGTATATAAGGTCCATAGTGTCTCCATTAAGATGCTCTGATTCTTATAATCTCAGATTTTTACAATCTAGCCAATAGCTCACAGATGCTCAGATTCCTTAAGAATCTGGTTAATATGGCAGATCTTTAATAAACCTCACTTTTGGCTAAAAAAAAAAAGAAAAAGGAGGAGGGAGTAGAATAATGTGTTCTGAAGGGCATTGCAGCTTGGGATGCAGCTCAGGGTGACCTATCCTATAAATCTGAACTTAACCATACAGGACAAAAGATGGGCATCCAATAATAAAGAAGAGATTGAAACATTTTTCAGAAAGAAAACCAAAAGTGAAGAAATTATTTACTTCTTGAACACCCTAAACAACAGAACTGCAAGAGAATAAATGTAGACAGCTGTACATTAAAAAAGACTTGGAAGGGGAGCAGAGAGAGAGGAGTAAGTAAGGCACCAGAGTCCAAGCAAGAGCTAGCAATCAGGGGAAGGTGACTACTGTGGTCTCAGAAAGAGAAGAGCCTACAGTGGAGTGGGCAAGGAGGGAGAAAAGACTGGTGGGGGGCGGGAGAGAGAGAAGGGTAAAGTGAGGAAGTCTTACTTTGGAGGTGGGAAGGGGTTCTGCTGATGAATGTTCTCATGGGTAAGGGGAGACAAAGACCTTATCATGGATGAGATCTAGAAGATTTGATGCCTAAAAAGTCTACTTGTCCTGGTTGGTGAGGTGAAACCCCTAGAGGCAACTGGCACTTGGAGGAGTACAGTGGGAAAGCATGGACACAGGGAGGAGATTTCCAGACAAATGTGGGGGAGGAGGGAAAGAAAGGTCAGCAAGAGAAGGTATAGATCAATAAGGAAAGGAGGGTACCATGTGTCAATGTCCTGTCTCTGACATCTGCACTAACTGACATTGTTCAGAGAGTGAGACATAATGGAAAAAGGGGATCCATGAGGTAAGTAATCCCTTCAAGTCAGTGGAAGCATCTAAATTGGCTAGCCTAGAAAAGGTACCTTGATTGTATAAAGAATATGGAGAAAACAGAGAGACTAGATAATTATAAGTCATAAATCAGATAATGAAGGTCTAGAGTAAACAGAAAGAGAAGATGGATAATGGAGCGAGTGAGAAAAATCCTTTTTGGAAAGGGGTACACAAGAATGAAATTAAGAAACTAATGAATAGGGTTACCTGAAGGGGGAGAGAAGAAGGGGGAATCTACATGACTAGAGCAGAAAAAGAGGAAAAATGGAGAAGATGTATGTAATAAGATAAAAGCAAGAGGGAGCAACAAATAAACAAAACCCTAAAATGAAAAGGGTAACAAACAAGAAGAATGGATCAGATGCAAGGGAAGAGATCCAGTGGAAACAGGACCACCTTAAAAAAAAATAAAAAGGTAAAATAAATGAAGGAACATGATACTGTGTTTACTACAAAAGAGAAGAAAATCCATAAATTTTTTAAAAACTTAAGAGACAGAGGAAAATATAAACTCAACTCATAACTTTGGATGTTAATGGAATAAATAATGCAATAAAATGAAAAAGAGTGACAGACTGGCTAAGAACAAAACCCTACAACCTGTTGCATATGCATTAAAAAAAAAAAGATATCCACAAAATAAAACTGAGTGGATGGAAAAAAATTTACTATGCATGAAGTGAATCCAGAAAATCAGGAGTTGCCATCATGCTATCAAAGCAAAAACAAACATTCAAAAATAAAACAGGACAAACAAGGAAACTATATTAGGCTAAAAGGGATCATAGACAAGAAACAAAGCAATCATCAGTAATAAATTTATATGCTCCAAATGCCTTAGCATCCAAATTCATAAAGGAAACATCTCAGCTTCAAGAAGACATAGATAGTAACATAACAGTGACAGGAAACTTCTATATCTCTCTCTTGGTTTTGGAGGTCTAACAGAATGATAAACAAAAAGGGAAATATGGAGCTGAAAAAATTGCTGGGGAAACTAGAGTTAAAAGACTTATGGCATCTTCTGAATGTGACAGCAAAAGGATATACACATTTGTCTGCATCACATGGAACTTTTATAAAAACTGACCATACATTAAGGCACAGAGATATTGCAAATCAATGTAAGAAGGCAGAAATAGTCAGTACATCCTTTACAAATCATAAATGCAA